GACGACGTTATGCTTCTGTTGGCGAGATAAACACGGCATCGAAATAGGAGCTGAAGAAGATAAAAAAAAATTATTTTTTGAAGTGCTTCGAAGATTGGAAAACCCGTTGGCACAAGTGTATAATATCTCATGGGGATTACTTTGAAAGGGATAAAATAAATATTCATGAATAAATAAATAATTTTTGAAAAAACACAAAATTCGCGATACTTTTTGAACACACCTCGTATTAAGTATTTAAAAGGCTACAATGTTATCGTAAAAAATTAAACTTCTGTCTTTATTTTGAATTGCATTTGCAAATGTGTATATATTTAGGTATGTTTGCTTACATATACCTATGTACAATACTCTAATAATTATGACAAACTCAGTGTACATAATTCAAAAGAATATATATTTCTTTCACCTAAAATAATGACTGATTCTTTATATAAGTTTTGCTTCGCTTTGTATCAGACGTTTGTTTTGACAAGTCCGATGTATGCTRCTATATCAGTTCGTTCACAACGTTTTATTGCTTTTACAAGCAGCAGACCTCACTTGTATACCCTGAACAGGGTATATTAAGTTTGCCACAATGTTTGTAACACCCTATAAAAATATATATAAATGATCAGCGTAATGAGCTCAGTTGAATTAGCGATGTCCATGAGTCTTTATATCATACACTCTTACCTCTAACCCCAACAACCAAGTATTGGTCCTATTCAACTCATTTTTGACATACGGACATACCATTACAAGAGAAAGATTATCCCATAATTTCAGTTATATACATACATATATCATACATTGATTGACATTTTTGATCAAAAGTCAACTATAGGTACTGGAGTCTTTATTCGGTGCCTAGGAGCTTGAACAGTTTTTATTGGATTCAAACAATTTATGTGCAAAGTTTTATCCCGTTATATTAGTTTCTTCTTGATTTGTGTACTGGAAACTGAACGACTCAAACAGAATTTAAAATTGTTCTATATAGGAATGTAAAAAGAATGCCACGTACTAAATTTTGTCGAAATCGGTTGGTCGGGTCGTGAGATATGTGATTTTACCAAAAAGTGGACGGTGACACGCCCATCACACCAGTTCCCATTAAGCTCTCTCGATTTACCATTTCGATGGCAAAATTTAATGTCTTTGGTGTATTTAGTTATTGATTTATCGCGCTTTTAGTACTTTTAAACAGTACCGTTATATAGGGAGCTGTCTCTTATACACATCTAGATGTGTATAAGAGACAGGTAGAAGTTCTTATAATATTCGTGCTTAGCAAATTTGGTTATTGTCGCTTAAGTGGCTTAGGAGATATGTACATTAAACTTTTCCTATATGTGTGACTAGCTACAGCGATCCTTTGTACCAAATTATATCAATCTCGCTTAGTTTTAGGTGATACGGGCAACAGTTAGGCGAACAAAACTATAATACTCTGTAGCAACTGGTTGCAAGTGTAGAAAAAATTTGAAGTTCGACAACAGTTGTCGTGGGATTTGCTTTGAAGTGCTTCGTGCGCTAATAACTTTTGTTGCGTTCGGCTCATCTTGAAACACCCATGCAGTCAACTGATCTTTACTTTCCGGCGTATATGCATAAATCCACGTTTCATTATCAACCAATTGACACTGGCCTTTTTAAGCTATCCAACGTGAAAAGAACTTTATACAGTCCATGGATATATAAGTCAAATGTTTAATGCCTCTATCTGATGATAGATCACATGACGATTCGTCAATTTTAGTTTGCGCACAACATCAATAATTATAACAACTTGGACGAGCTTCAGGAAATCCGACTTACAGTGATCTACAACCTCGATTAAATTCACCATATCATCAATAAACATTGACCCCTAAAGGAACTTTAGCGTCAAAAACTGACTTAAGTTCATCAATGTAATGTTGCTGAATTAATCCACTTTTAAAGTTTTAAAATGTTAGCGGTTTAATTATATTTTTGGGCCGAAATGCATATTTTAAATGCAAAACGTCGTGTGCCAAAACGTTCTGAGTATGATGACATTACAAACGTCAATTGCAGTGGTCGTTAAACTCACATATTCAAACGATTTACATATGTGTATTTTATTCATTTTTATATCTGATTTTGGGAAAATTTTAATTCCAATTTAGCACGTATTTGTTCATTCAATTTTATTTTAATCCCAAAACGAATTTAAAAATGAAAAAACTTGCAACCCTGATTTAGCTCAATTTTTTTTTTATCGGCCCGTTGTCGCCATTTTAAAAACAGTGTAGTCGTTGCAGTAATTGGGGTCGAAATAGCTCAAATATTGACCTTAATAACTGCAACATTACATGTAAATATGTTTTGATTCAGTTTTTTTTTGTCGTTTTCTTCTTATGGCAACTTTTTGTTATGTATTCCCAAACTGATCGTTATTTTACAGTTACTCTGTCTATTTTGCTGTTTTAGTGTGTGTGTTAAGAGCAATTGATTTTCATATCAGTTTATTTTGCAACACGCCAGTAGTGTTTTAAGTGTAAAAGTCATGGTGGTCACAAAAAATTAATAAAACTAACAATTAAAGAAAAAACTGAAATTTTGGATAAACTAGAAAGGGGTGTATCGACAACAGCTCTTTGTATTGATTATAAAGTTCACAAGCCGACAATGACGAGAATAAAAAAGAAAAAAGCTTGTATACTTAAATATGCCACAAATATGGAAGTTGGGCCAGGAAAACGGCAAGCCTAAAAATCTTGTGAATACCCAAGAATGGAAAAGGCTCTGTACAAGTGGTTTTTGAAACAAAGGAGTGAAAATGTGCCTAAATCCATCGATATCGTCAAAGCAAAAGCTCGCAAACTCCATGCGAAAAGACAGGATGTTTTCATGCAAGTAATGGTTCGGTATCTAATTWCAAARAGCGATATGACCTCCATCACTTGAAAATTTGTGGAGAGAAGCTTTCCAATAAGACAGCGTCCGTCGACCCATTTGTAATACGTTTTAGAAATAAAATCAAGGATCTTGATCTTTCTGTAGAACAAATTTATAGTGCCGACGAGTCTGGATAGTTTTTCAGGCAGATACGAGATAAAATGTTGATGAGCTTCATTTGCTCCTGGTTGGAAAGTTAGTAAGAAGATAATAACATTTCTCGCATGCACAAATGCTTCGGGTACACACAAAGTTAAGCTCTTTGTCATTGGAAAAGCAAAAAAACCCTAGAGCATTAGAAAATCACCCGTTGTTTACAAGGCTCACAAGAACTCGTGGATGACTTATTCGAAGACTGGTTTCATCATACGTTTGTTCCTGAGGTGAGAAATACGAAATTAATTGAATTTTTGTTTAAAATTTTTTTGTATTTTTTTGGATTGGTATAGGGACGCGAATCCAATTGACAAAAGACAATGAGATGAAAAGTGATGATGGAATGATAACCGTTATGTGTCTTCCACCTAACTGTGCCGGGATTCTCCAACCAATGGACCAAAACGTTATTAACTTAATAAAAGTCTATTACAAAAAATTTTTGRCACATTTAATAGGGAATAAAACCACTCATCTGGAGCAAAAAGTAAAGGAATTCAACTTTAGACATGTTATCTGCCTTCTTGCAAGTTCATGGGAAAAAGTGTCAGCAAGCTCCATTCGCAAGTATTTAGAATATGTTAATGAAACTATATGTTGAGTGGAGTGAAGAGGACGATATTCCTCTCAGCATTCTGAAAAGAGGAATTGAAAATTAACAATGCATCAATGCTCCAAGAACTTGCACCAAATGATTCGTTCACAAATGAAAGGATGCACGAAAGTGTTGCTTATCAAGAAGTGGATAAAGAAGCCGTAGAAATTGAAAATTCTGATGATAGCGAAGCGGATCTTATTCCACCTCCTAAAATAAAAGGATCAGTTGCTATGCAATTTTAACACATGCACTCAGCGGGCTAAGGAAAACGATATTCCAATAAATGACATAGGCTATAATAAAAACCCTTAATAAGAAGAAAGTGCAGACAACACTACCCGATATGTTTAAAAAGTGCAATTTTTAATAAAAAAAAAATTAGCTTTATATATCATAAAACGATTTTCATTTGTCATATTTCTTGTGATATATTTTTCCTCGTTGGGTGCAACAACCTAAATAAGCGCAACTATTTCTATTAGTCGCGATTACCGAGTTCGTATTGTATCTTCTTACAGGCCCATATCACTTCTACCGATAATATCGAAACCTTTTGAGAAAATTCTCATAAAACGTCTCAATAAAATCATACAACAAAAAGGCATAATTCCCGCGCATCAGTTTGGATTTCAAGCTACCCATTCAACGATTGATGAAATCTGCAGAATTACACACATTATTGAAAAATACTTTGAAGAAAAGAGATTCCTTTCTGCAGTTTGTTTGGATGTTGCAAAAGAGTTCAATAAAAACAAGTTCTTATTCTTAGGGAAATAAAARCAGGAATTCCACAAGGTAGTGTGTTGGACCTCTATTCACGCATGACCTGCCAGTAGACTGCAATTATACAACAGCCACATTTGCAGATGATACCGTGTTGCTTGCTGTTGGTAGTAGTGAACACGAGTCAACTACTGATTTGCCGTAAATAAAGTTTGCAATGGGCAGAGGAATGATAAATAAAACTGAATGAAGCTACTAAGTCTGTACACATTGTTTTCACGTACGAAGAGCTAGATATGCGACTCAAAAATATTAATTGGTAACAAATCAGTGTTATCCATCGAAAATAGGTTGTTTATCTATAAATAGACACTCCGACATGTACTACGTATGTATGTTTAAATATATAACTATAAATCCTAGAAATGTCGATTTTCCTAAGCCTCTGAAAAAGGTYCCCCTCTTAAATATCAGCATTTTTTTCAAAAACTCAATAATTAAGACATTTCGTGTTTAATACTTATTTTTTCCCCTATAGAAATAAAATAAATAGGGCCGAATATTCTGTAAATATTTCTTCATAACTATACAGTATTATTTGCATTGTTTATTTTAGGATAGAGCACACTTTCCTATATACATATATAAGTAAAAAGCCATCATTTTTTAGGGAATACGTGGAGAAATTTTATCCAAATCTTAAGAAGAACAACCCAGAATTGCCAATTTTAATACGAGAATGTTCAGGGATTCAGCCGCGATTATGGGCACGATATGGTAAGATCATAAGATAGTAGGAAGAATATATAACTATAATTATTGTTCRTAGTTCTAGGTAAAGAAACTTCCGTTCCTTTGACGAATCAATCGGCACCAGAAATTCAAAAGCAAGTTRAAGCTGTAGCAAAAGCGTAAATTTATATATTTTTGACTACAAGCCAAATCTGTGAACATATGTTTATCTAAATAATAAAATATAATAAAGAAACATTAACCATGCAATTTTAATTTTATTAAGCTCTTCTATTAAATATAATCATAATTTTATGGCTTTAACTTATTAATTAGCCAATTGTTGGAAAAGGTGGCAAGCCAAAATCTTCGGGACGAAAATCATCTAAAGACTTTAACACTTGAGTTGCATCCTTACGCATCTCTTCTGTTACTAGTTCATCTGGTACCATCACAACTTGCATCCCAGCGCTTAAAGCTGCCTGTACGCCATTTGGGGCGTCTTCAAACACAAGACAGTTTGATGGGTCAGGTTTGTCCAAGAACCGAGAAGCAGCTATAAGAAATATGTCAGGTGAAGGTTTGCCTGCTTTAACTTCTGGGTCAGTAGACCCGCAAACACGATGATGAAAAAGTTTAAACACGTCGCGATGATGAGTAACTTTTATTTCAACCATATGCTCACCAGAACTAGTAGCCAATGCTATGGGGATCTTATTAGCATGGAGATGCCTTAGCAATCGCTCAGCACCTATAAATTATAATTATAAGAACACAATGATTAAAGCGATCGATATATGTACATATGTATCTATGTAATCATTGTGTTTTCGATTTCCCTCAAGTATGAAAATAATTATTATCATTGATAATAAATTTCATAACGGAATCTCTCAAAGTAAAATATATAAAACAAAATGTATAATTGTAATGAAAATAATTATTTTACATACATACATATATTCAGATGGAAAATCTTAAAAATTATTGTTTTGTAAACATAGTGGTACGAATACGTTTGTTTACTATTTGGAAGTGAGTATAGTATGTATTTAAACATGGATAAACTTTCTAGACGTTAATAAATTTTACTATAAAATATTATTGTATTTACATTCTAAATATTTTTATGAGCCCAAGGTGTATTTTTATTCGATTACAAGGTATTTGTTTAAAATTAGATTCGTTTTGTTGTTTTTATACTTTTTAATTTTTTCATTTACCTACAATTAGAAGCATTATTACTCAGGGGGCCTATTCTGTAGCTCGATTCGAAAAAAAATTTAGTCGAATTCGGATTTTTTATATTCCGTAACTAAACTTTCGGATTTTCAATCCAATTTTCAAATAAAATATTCGTTAGCTTTTGAGTTGTAGAAAGCAAAAACGAAAATTGTACGTATTTATTCTGGCACAGGGTGGTACAACTTTCGAAAAATTATAAAGCGAGTAGAATACATTTACGAATCGAGATACAGAATAGGGCCCCAGGAGTTGTAAGTATTTCATTTTATCACAGTGACTGCGATTTTGTGCATATTCCTGTGTATAATTGATAAAAAACCGGCAATAATAAAGAACGACAAATTAGTGAATAAGGTATAAGGATAAAAGAAAAATAATAATTTTTAGTGAAACAATGATTTTTATATTTTAAAAATTCAAATGTTGAATACTATAGATCAATAATACATTGTTTGGCCAAAAGTTAGCCAAATATACATATGTGCGTATGTCTGTTTATGGTATGCATACATTTCGAAAAAGAAATGTCAGTGAGTCAACAAATGATGCAAAGTTTAATATAAATATTTTTTATCAATATGAGAGATTGAAATATTTTTTTTTATCTAAACATCATAGCTTCATTTGTACAAACATTCAATGGAAGTAAAATTTCTAACGGCTGATCTAGTTACCTATTTGAAAAGGTCGTATATGATCTAACYTGGCATTAACGGAGAATTTGCCAACATTTCTTTACATTTATTTGTAAATATTTTCAGGTATTCCTCGACAGTTATGGGCAATTCTAGTTCATTGATAGCAATTGCAGCCGATATTTGCTCGGTTGAGCCAAGTACTTTTACTCGCACATCACGAGGGTAAAGCTTGTTAAAAGAGTCAGCTATTAGCCTTACAATTTCCTCATAAACCACTTCCGTATCTACAACAAAAAAAAATTGATGATTAGATTTGGATATTACCTGGCATTAATTCAGCTTCTGACATTAAAAATTCTGTTCGCTCGCGTTGCCTTTGTGCATATTCTTCCCAGCTTATAGGTAATTTATAAGCAGCAACTATAGCTTCAGCAACTTGCTGGGTCTGCAACCCCATAACACTTACTTTAACGTCCCAAGTGTAAGTTTTACCATACAGATCCAGAATTTCCTGAGTGGCTTTCGAATACAATTTTTCCGTATCTAAGGATTAATATACCAGAAAATAAATTTGGGGATGCATCATATAAAAATCTAAAATATTCGTAGAATGATTATAATAGCAAATATACTACTGTTGTTGTAATTATTGCATGAGGGATGTTGATCAGGGGTAGCTCAAAAAGTTGTATTACTGACAATATCTTCGATTGATATCCTAAAAGGTATTATTTTCAAAAATGMTGTCTTAATTTTCGGAAAATCTTTATAATGGCTCGGATATATGGTAGTTAGTTAATCTAAGATCTTTTTCAACATACATACCAACTTCTAAGCTCTTGTTGGTAAAATCTGATTATTTTCTTATAATTTATATTGTGACACAACTTTTGTTTGAGGTACTAATGGAATTAWTAACCTAATAATTTCTTAAAAGAAAGTAAATAACTTGTATATAATAAAGAATATGCTTCACCGGGATTTCCCCTACAGTATTTTAGCTTTTCATTCCTTTCTGCGCTTTAAAAAAATAACCCTGGCCGGTCCAACACCGGCTACGCSTTCCACAGTTATTTTAGCATTGAACACCTTTTCCTCCACAGTTTTTTAGCATTTCATTCCTTTCTGCATTGGCGGCCTTCGGCCACACTTTAAAAAAAATAACCCTGGCCGGTCCAACACCGGCTACGCCATCCACAGTTATTTTAGCATTGAACACCTTTTCGTTTTCACTTCATACATTTATTGCTAAGTGGGTTTACTCTATTCCCTTTTGTTCGTGCTTTCTCGGTAATTTGACAGTTCAAATTAGGCAATCATTTTGGTTTTTCGCATTATTGAACTCAATGCAGAAAAAGGTGTGTTTTATTTAAATATTTACAAAGAAATTAACGATCAAAAACATTACCAGTGGTTTTTATAATTCATAAGTAATATATGTATGTGCGTGAAAATGTATCCATAATTGGTTTGGTACAATGCACAACAGATGAAAATACACTAGCATATATTTGGAAATTTGCAAAAAATTGCATTTTTTAAAGTGAATTTGTGGAAAAATTTGTGAACCGATTTTTATAAAATATATTTTAAAATAAAGTTCGATAATTTAAGCATACATGCGTGTTTAAAATTTTCAATTTGGTTCTCTTGTTTAGGTACGGTGAGCCAAAATTAACCGGCGCGATACTAAACACAACCCAAACAAAGAAAAGTGGTTCAGTTACGCTGTTAATTTTGATCTCCTTCCTATAAAAAATAGTTAAATTAATTATTTGAATTTCCGAAATTATGTAGTAGTTTCTTCAAAAGTATAAACACACATACTCACCTAGTAATAAACCATCCATATCAAACAAGCAATGCGTAACATTTTTAAATTTGCTACACATACTCCACCAGTTTTTAATAATCGATATACTAAAGTATGTTAAATATTAGCAACAATTTTGCTTGAAAACTTTTACTGCCTTTTCGATTGAAATAAAATTATGTAATGATTGCAATACTATTGATACCAAAGTATTCATTCAATATTTCTATGCGTTAAAAGATCAGTCATCAAGCTCGTACCATTTGATAACAGCTGGATTATACTTGCTGGATATTTGGACGAGTGCATCGTGAAAATAAAACACTGAAATCAGCTGTTTTGCGAATGCGSTTACCAGTGCTGACTTCACCATTTTTTGGTAAATTTCCTTTATACCTATTATACATATGCATAGTTTAGAGTTCAATCTTATAAAGGGTGTCCCAAATTATCAAGAGATTGATAATTCAAAATAACACTAGACATCTTACAGTTTAGGCTTGGTAGAATTGGAGACTTACACGATAGAGCAAAGTGTATCAATTATTGAACAATATTTCTAAAATATTGAAAATTTGGCAGCTGAAGTGTTAAAATTGTCTATTGAACTTATTTATTCAGATAATTAATTTTGTAAATGAACAAAGGGGCATAAAGAATAAGGATTATACCTAGAAATTCATGATTATTGACCAAATGAGAGTCACAAATATGCACTATAAGCCAGGTTTAAGTCACCGGTTCCTTATCCAAAAGTGCTACCAGAAATGCATTTTATTTTATTTTTTCATCAAAAACGCTGTCACTGGTTTAAATAAAAATAATAACAAAAATAAAAACCCTGTTTCTTGGACCACAGCACTCATATTTTATCTTAGATATGAGAGAATCTCTGGTTGCTCAAACCCGGCCTAGAATTATTTAAACCAATGTCAAATTGTTTTAAGATTTCTAATGAGTTGATGTGATCATTAATTATTTTTTAAAAAACGATGAATCAGGTAATTGAAGGATGGAGCCATGTGTACGCAAGTCCGCGCAAGTGAAAGTTCTCTGATTGCTATTCACTTGGRAGTGGCCTGAAACGATACTTTCAATGGATGAAYGTCTAGCCACAATCCGCATCAAAGCGAAGTTCTTCAGCATATCGCTGATTTGCTCCAACGCCCTACGGAAGAGAAGAACGATATGACCATTGATGCCTTCTATGATCGCTTGGAGCACACCTATAAGAGTCAAATTCGTTCTTGGCGACTTTAGCCCCAGGCTGGGCAAAAAGGTATCTTTGGCACTGCGGTGGGTGAATTTAGCCTCCACGATGAATGTCCCCAAATGTGTTGAAGTTAATCGACTTCGGCGGGTCCTGAATTATGGTTAATTGTAGTACTAGATTCTAGCATAAGAAAATTTATCAAGCTACCTGGCCGTCTCCGGAACGAAAAGTGACCAACCAGATCGATCATGTTGCAATAGAAGGAAGGAAGGCATGTCCCCAATGTTCTAGACGTGCGTACGCTCAAGGTCCTCATATCGCCTAGACACGCATCCGCCTCTGTGTAGCAAAAAACGCACGTTGACAAACACAAGGAAGGTTTACTTATTATTCCCGTCCTGCTATATGGTGGACGATGATAACATGTGATGAGTCGACGTTACGAGTTTTCGAAAGGTTTTTTCGGAAGACTTATGGTCCTTCGTGCTGGCCACTGCGAATATCAAATGCGATAGAACGATGAGCTTTATGAGATATCCGACAACATTGACATAGTTCAGCGCATTAAAAGACAGCTGGCTAAGTCATATCGTCCGAATGGACGAAAACACTCACGGTCTAAAAGTTTTCGACGCAGTACTCGTCGAGGGAAGCAGAGGAGGAGGAAGACCTCCACTCTATTGAGAGACCAGGTGGAGGACCTGGCTTCGCTTGGAATCTCCAATTGGTGCCTCTTTGCGAAAAGAGGAAAGGACTGGAGCGCTGTTGGTGACTCGGTTATAACCGCGTGAGCAGCAGTGACGTCGCTAAAGAATTACACATACCACTGTGGTCAAATTGAAAGCCCAATTTTTACATTTCATTTCCTTCAAAGTAGACCCCTCCCGCTGCAATACACTTATTACTACTGAACATAGCACTTGGAAAAATCCTCCGTTGTAATGGCCATCAGAGCCTTCTTCGATTCGGCTTTTATATCCTCAGCTGAGTCAAAACGGTGTCAAACGGGAGCGGTCATGTGAATTTGCTGAATAGAAAGAAGTTACAATCAGGCGAATGCGGTGGTTTCGGCACGATATTAGTTGAAAATGCGGCGAAATGGTCACGAATAACCAATGCAGTATGAGATGGTGCTTTATCGCACTTCTTTGTTCAATAAATTTAGACATAGTAAAAATRGAATAATTCACTTTTAGAGCCTAACAAAACGACGCGTATCTCAAATACTAACGAATACTTTGACGTGTAATTTAGCATATATAATATGCCACTAACAGTACTACCAACTTAGAAAAAGAAACCTATTACCTATTCGAAAAACACGCGAAGTACAAAATAAAAATTCACCTTTCAATTTCATCACAGTATTACATGTTTTGAATAATCCATACATGAGGTAAAGTTTTTTTTCTGGTCTAATTATAAATTTAATAAACCAATATTTTTTAATACTTCATTCGTTAGTCAAAGCTTAAATAACATTTCCGACAATTATAACAAAAATATGTAAATACGTTGGCATTTGATAATGCAAAGCAATAAAATACTCTGGGACAAATATGCGGTTGTTAAATATATATTTATGGAGTAATCGTATTCTACGTTATCATAAGATTGTCCATTTATTACAAAATTCACTATATTTATTAAAGCGTCTTATTCAAAAAATAGTTATTTTACGTTTTTAATGTTTGACGATAAAGTTGGATAAAAGTACGGCGGAGCGCTAAACGTGTGGTCCGTTCCCTCGAGTGGTTGAAGTAAAAGAGAAAGAGTCGTCTGTGCGTGGCTGGAATGTCTGTTTTCTATGGCGTCGTAATGGGCGACTCATTGAGTCGTCACGCCGCGTAATGGCTGGTGAGCACCGGTCGTGAACAGCAGAGCGCTCAATGGGTATTGCGCATGACAGTTGTGAATTGGCGCACCTTCTGAATTCATTCTTAACATAAAACGGTAACAAATCTTTATTATTTAAATAGGAATAATAGAATCTATTTAAAACTTACCTTCCTCAGCAATTTAACGACGAAATTTGTCCTTATGTAAAATGACAGCTGGAACAGGGTAGCAACATATTTAACAGCCATTGAAAATATCTTTCTGCTTGTGCTTTGCTGTTGTGCCATTGCACCAATTGAAAAATTCTAAAATTCGTGCMATACGTGCACCGTGCAAGCGATGTTTAAGAGCAAGACGGATTTCTGTAGGGTTYTATACCATGTTCAGACCGAAAATTTAAAAGATTTAATTACGTTTAAGCATTTCATAACCCAACAGTGTTCTCACTGCCGTTACAAAGATCAAAAAACAGCTTTTATTGTCATTCAAGAATTCACATCGCTTAATATTTATCAAAAGAAAAGATTGTCATATAGTGTTTTTAAATAAAATCGGTCATTTTCTAAATATTTTCTATATAATAGATGCATTTTTTCATTTGTTAAGTCGATTTTCAAGTGAAATTACATTCATTGCTTTAAAAGAAATTGTTTGTTTACATTTATCCCCCTTTGTAGTGTCTAAATCAACTGTGATAATGTAATATATTTTCAATACTGCCAAGTAGATGGCGCCAAATCAGAGTCGCACAGAGCGACTTAGCGTGGATCAGTTTCAAATCATTTCGATTAAGTGATTTTGAACTGAAATTTTTGTATGGTGAAATCTTGATAAATTTATAAGATTAGTGGGATAAACCACTCAACAGCCGACATTGTGTGATTAACTGTCGGTCTGAACATGGTATTAGTGGTACTTCATTGTTTTGCTTGTCATCTGTTCAGTGGCATGAACTTTCAGTGCTGCCAAACAAACCACTATAGCTCTCTCAACCATCACGTGTGGAACACAATGCACGCGACAGACTGCAACAGCACGACAGTGAACTGAAAATGGCGTTGTGAATCCTACTACATGAACGTTTGTGAGAGGACAACAACATAACAATGGGCGACATGTACACAAAACAACGCACTTGTCCAATTTGCATGTACGCAATTTCGTTGTTGCCATACTAATACCTTGCACTTCAATGAAATTTTAGTATTTTAATATTATTCAAAGTAAAATTTTTAAGAAAAAATAAGTAAATAGGTAAATTTATTTGTTTTAAGTTATCAATTGTTATTATATTTAATTTAACAGAGCTATTTTAGTCTTTTATTTGTAAAATACGTCAGGTTTGTTAGAGCTTTGAGTAATTTTACATTTTACATATTAGTGGYACTCCACTCTACCTCATCTCTCTATCTTTCATTCCACTGTCAAMTCTACTGTTGTCCTACCGTCTTTGGCAAATATAGGATTCAATTGAAGTTAGCGAGGACCATTGTATAACCCTATTATGCAATGGCAAGAACGACGACAACTGTCGGCCCGCCGTCGTGTAGTCGTGCAGCTGTYAAAATAGGTCCGTCCATAAAAACGTGTGTATTTTAATATTTGACAGATGTCGTTTGCAGTCTGTCGCGAGCATTGTATTCAACACATCAAAGATAATTTTTCTACAATTTTTTCATTTGTTTTCAATCYTTGATCTTGTGTTGATGAAAAGCAGAGGGAATATTTGTTATTATAGTTGGTTGATGCAAAACATCCTGAAATGGCTGAGGAAATAGATGATAGTGGCTTTTATAGACAGGATTTTAGTACAGTATCCAACTGGGAGATTTTTAATGCTCAGTTAGGAGATGTTATTCAAAAATTAAATGCAATTGAAATTGATGCTACCATCGGGAGTGATACCTACCAACTTAACTATAAAGTATACACAGAAACTTTTTTAGTATATAAAGCTAAAATTTGTGTAAGTTTTTATTATTCCACAAACTCTGAACATCGAGAGAGGAATTCCAAAGACGACAACACGTATAACTCTATGTACTGCGACCTTATGAATATTAGGCGAACTTTTGGTCCACCGTTAAAAACTTCCAATTGTAAATGTTTACATGTAATATCTAGTTTATTTGGATTGCAACGATTTGCGGTTATCCATCCACATCAGTCAAATCAAAAATATATAACTAATCCTTCGGAATTTTGTTTTTTTCTCAGTGCTGCGACGGTTGTGGCTTCGGAATATAACACAGTGCCAATATTTGTTCAAATTTATCAACCAAAATTAAACATGTTTTTAGGAGTTGGAATGAATGCTACGCTACGAACTAATTTTGATATTGTCGTCCTTAAACAGTCTCCTGGCGAGTGCCGTTACTTATCTGGATTACTACAAATATTCAAAGAAAAACTTCCGTTTAGTAATGTGCAACCCATTTCATTATCAGTGCGAAATATATATGCGCTGGAAACTATACGGTTTCGTTATCCAATGAATGTCCCATTTCTTAAACGTTTTGATGTAAATGGTGAAGACGGAATTGGAGATAAATACAAAAGTTGGGATAAATATATAGCACTACCATGTGGTTATTTCCCCGATTCAGGTACAGATGTATACCTYGTTTACAGTTGGGTAGGAATTTCGGAAATTTTTGCAATAGACTCGCCACTGCATACTGACTTTATACCATCGAAAGCGCATATTTGTAATATGTACCAAACAGCTAATGTGGATTCCTATTTGACGAGTTGTTTACGAGATTTTTTAAAGTTATATAATAGTAAAGAAGCCTTAGAAACATTTGTAGGCCGTAATGTTACTGATTCTTCTGATGGTGTCAATATGGCGGATGCACGATATCACTTGACAAACCCTTCAATTAGACAAATTCGATCAGACAATAAATTAAATAYCAAGGAAGGTTATCAGAGTTTAAAGAAAATTGCTGGACCATTAAATGAATCTGAACTAAAGTCTTTTATAGCATTTATGTTCCCGGATTTATATCCAGATAACGAAAATTATTGTTATATAAATGATATGGCGGCACGAAATATTGAGGTACTATATAAACTTGTAACACAATATRACTTTGAAATTATCAAATATATTTCAGGATAATCCTCGTCGGATAAAATCATCTCCATTCAACTCTTTATCCAGCCGTGTTAGCTGCGCACTAGTTACTTGTAATGCTCACTTTGGTGGGAAAAATGGACTTGCTCAGCTTTGGATTGCATTTATTAGGGAGCTCCGATTTATATGGAATTGTAGACTTTCTATTCAAGGGTGAGCATTCGACTATTGAAGCATATATATGTATTCTTGTTTTCTTGCCGAATTAAAATTCGTTTTAATTTTCCAAGCCAATTATTATTGGTATAACTCTTAATCCTATAAAATCATAATGTTGTCTTTTAAATGTTTTGATTTATAGACCAATTAGTATTTAAGAAATTTCATTGCATCTTGGTTGGACGGTTATTTGTAACAACCAAAATGACGATGATGTAGAGAATGAATTTGGGATGTCTTCCATTCATTGCCACAAAACATCACACGTATTCCGAGCATATCGGCTAATGTGTGAGTTATCTAAATAAGTGGATATATTTTTTTTWAAATAATGTGCTTTAGAAATAAATATGAATTAAATCGGTCTAAATATAAATATATTAAATATAATGTCATCCGATTCTCTGGTTTATTTTTTCTCAAATAATCACTTARGCTGTTCACGGTAAGGTGGTTATCGGGTTATGTGCTGCCATTTAGTAAAACTCCAACGACTTTCTAACACTGGAAATAAGCAAACAACCACATAATCTGTAAACAAGGGTCTGATTTGGTCAAAGTTGGTTATTTTGTCATACCGCATTTTGTTGTTGTTTACTTAATCACATAACCACATAACCCGATAACCACCTTATCGTGAACAGCCTAATTGTATTTCGTGCAGAATGCCCTAAATATTAAAAAGAAGCTCAAGGTTGACCAAAAAAGACATCAACATTCAGATCTTCAAGAATTATTTATTTATTTATTTATACAAAGCTTACATAATAATTAATTATTATGTAAACTAAAGCAAACGCAGCGCTAGCAGCAGAGGCTTTCGGCTGGTTGGTTGAGTCAGATACGACGGAGTAGGTCTGTGCCCTTTAGAAATTTGTAAATTTTGCTAATATTTTCTTCTGTGGCGTCCATTAACAATAGGAGAGGGTCCTTGCTGTCGAAATGATGAAGTCTTTGAGAAGCAAGTTCTGGGCAGGATACCAGTAGGTGTTGCACGCTGAATGTTGCTTGACAGAAGGGGCAGGTGTTGGATTTAATGCCCTGTAATAAGTGCGCGTTGGTAATGGTGTGCCCAATTCGGAGGCGTGTGTAGGGGGTGATGTGGTTGGTAGGTACCGATGTTGTGTATACAGGTTTTGTTCGGTTGGGGTTAATGTCCGAATAATGGTGATTATAATCCGCCCATTCACGTAATAACTTTGTTTGCCTCTGACTATGAATTAGTCGGTATATGTCGCTAGGTAGGATGACTTCGGATGTGATTGTTGGTGTGATGGAAATATCTTTGGCGATGGTATCTRCAAGTGTGTTGCCCTTTATGCCGGAGTGTCCAGGTATCCACATGATTTTGATCTTGCCCGGAAAGGAAATAAGTGTGTTTTTTATATTTTTGATGATACTGCCTGATTTGTTGTGGTTTTGTATAGCGTGGAAACATGACATACAATCGGTGCATATTATATGTTTACCCTTGGTTTTGCAAGAGTATTGAACAGCGTGGAATATAGCGGTTGTTTCGGCGGTGAAAATAGAGCAGAATGAAAAAAGGAGGCCGTACGCGACAACTACTTGATTTTCCGTTACCACAGCATA